CTTGGCCTTGTTGAACTTCATCCCATTGGAGTCAGCCCAACTCTCCAGTCTGTCCAGGTCCCTGTGAAGAGGCCTCCTGCCTTCCAGCTGATCGACACTCCCTCCCAACTTGGTGTCATCTGCAAATTTGCTGATGATGGACTCGGTACCCTCATCTAAATCATCCATAAAGATGTTAAACAGGACTGGGCCCAGCACTGATCCCTGGGGACAACACTGGTGACTGGATCCCAACTCGATGCAGCCCCATTCACCACCACTCTCTGGGCCCGGCCCTCCAGCCAGTTCCTAACCCAGCACAGAGTGCCCCTGTCCAAGCCCTGGGCTGCAGCTTTTCCAGGAGTATATTATGGGAGATGGTGTCAAAGGCTTTGCTGGAGTCCAGATAGACACATCCACAGCCTTTCCCTTATCTACCAGGTGGGTCACCTGATCATAAAAGGAGATCAGGTTGGTCAGACAGGACCTGCCCCTCCTAAACCCGTGCTGACTGGCTCTGATCCCTTGTCCATCCTGTAGGTGCTGTGTGATTGCACTCAGGATGATCTGCTCCAGAACCTTGCCAGGCACTGAGGTCAGGCTGACAGGCCTGGAGTTTCCCAGGTCCTCCTTGCAGCCCTTCTTGTGGATCAGCGTGATATTCCCCAACTTCCAATCATCTGGGACCTCCCCAGAGAGCCAGGATTGTTGGGAAATGATGGAGAGTGGCTTGGCCTTCTTCATTTTATCCAATAAAAGCTCCTCTATTTCAGCCTAAAACCATTGTACCGTGTTCTGCCACTACAGGTCTTGGTAAAACATATCCCTGTGACTATCTTAGACTGTGAGCACTATGTGTTCATCTGCAGACACCTTGGAGAGTGCTCAGAGATGTACCTGCAAAAAGTTCATCCCTGTAGCAGTTATTAATATAATAAATAATAAGTCCCATGGGGACCATAGTGACACCAATGTGGTGTGTAACAAGAGCGAGTTTATTCAAGGAGTCTCAGCTTATATAGCAGTTTCAAATGCTGCCACGTCACACAGGTAACTTCTTAAGCCAATCCCATACAAGCATTCAACAGAGCATGTGTGACAGAGTACTTAGAACTACAACTCCCACGATGCTTTGCAGCACCTGGTGTAACCAGACCCCACAATTCCCCCATTTTTATTAATAAGACAAGACAGTGTAAATTTAAAAAACAGTGCAATTCTTAACAAAACGTTTTTCACTTGACATAGTAAACTTATTTCTTGCTTAAACCTTATATACTTAAGAGTTCTATATAATAACAAAACTTTATTAATTAAAAACCTTATTTATCTAAGAGGTCTATGCAATAACAAAACTTTATTAATTAAAAACCTTATTTATCTAAGAGGTCTATACATAACTGGGGAAAACTTACTTTATTAGAACACAAGGAAAAGTTTAAAGGAGGAACATCATGTTTTGAGTTGCCTTTTATTAAGGCGATGTATTAGAGGTAGTGTTTGTTGTGTGTGTTCATTTCAGATATTTTGTATAAGGTGTAAATGGTTCACATACATTCATACATTCACACAATCTCTTTTACTCATTCGGGTGGCCACCCCAATCATTTTTCATTCATGTATTCATGTAATCTTTGTTTTCATATTCTAGCTATACCACTTAAACTTTTATGTAGTGTTTGGTCAGAATGAAAATTGTTTGACTCAGGATTTACTTACTTAATTACATGCATATTCTCTGTCTACTCCCCTTCTTTTGTTGTGAATATGAAAAGTTAATGAATTTAAAGGTATAAGAGTGGTAAGTAGTGTGTATATTTCTGAGTGTGTACTTAGAGAAATGAATAGGTAGGTAAGTATTATAATGTGTTAACTAATAATAATAGAAATTCTTAAAGATGCTAATTACTACTTAAACGAGATAGTTACAAACTTAAACCTATTTAGATACATTTAAGAACTTAACAATTTTAAACAATACTCAGTAAATGTGACTATTAGTAATTTAAACAAAGGTATAGGGAAATTAGAAACTTAAAAATGTATTAATAAGGTAATGTTGAATTTTTCTCTATTATTAGTGTAACTAGAAAACTAAAGACAACTAAATTATTTTAGACAAAAACATTTGTAATAATTTCTAAAGGCTTATATGTAAAACATGTAAACAGTCAGTAATATAGTGTCTGTATAGTTTTGGTCCCGGCCCGGGTCTTTGCCCGGGCCACTGCCCCTCTCATAGGAGTGGGGAGGCGGTGTTATCACTGTTGAGGCTCCCGGAGGAGCCGGAGTGACTGCGGCCATGGCCCGACCCGCTCACGGTGGGGGTCATGTCGCTGGTCATCGCCGCCGGGCCTCGGCTCGGCTCGGCCTTGTGCCGCATGTGCGGCTGTTCAGGGCCGCGCTGTTGCGGCCGCGGGGTCCGCTTCAGGGGAGCGGCGGCACGGGTAGTGGAACGCGGCCGTCAGCTCTAGGCACGGCCCGGCCGTCACCACGGGCTGCCCGCGCTCCAGATGCAGGCGGGCGGCGAAAGCCTCGCAGCTCTGCGCCGCCGACACGTGCTCGCCGAAGCCGCCGCGCCGCCCCCCGCCGCTTCAGCTGCATTTACAAACTTGTGCCACAGTCCCGGCGCAAGCCTGCTCGGCCGCCCGGGATGGCCGCGGGGCCGCCCCGCGGCTTCTCCTCAGGCACGGCGGCCGCCCCCCCGGCCCGGGGTTCCACGCGGAGCTCCGCCGAGAGCTCTACGCGGGTCGGGGGCGCGGCGGGAGTCGCCGCCAGCTGCGGCGGGGCTTCCGCGCTCGGGTCACCGCCTCCCGTTCGGCCGCGCCTCGGCCCGCTTGTGGCTTCTGGGCAGAGGCGCCCCGCGGCGGCGCCGCTCCAGCCGCCTGGCTCCCTCCACGCTGTGCGCCGGGCCCGCCGCTCCCGGTGGTGCCGCCGCCGCTGCCATCTGGGTTTGCGCAGGAACCGCCGCCGCAGCCTGGTCGACACCAGCCGGCACCGCGAGAGGAAGTCGCCGTCGCTGCCGAGCCCCGTCCCGGAGCCGCCCGGCCCGGGGGGGCCGGAGTCGCCGCCCGCCGCCAGCAGTCCTGCGGAGCCGTGCGCAGCTCCGTCCCCGGCCTGACTCGCTGCGGCTGCCGAGCGTCTCGACAGCCCCGCGCTCTGTGCCCGCCGCCGGCCTCGCCGCTCGCAACGTCGAGCGGCTATCACGTATCTTTTTTAAACATCGCGCCGCTGTTGCTGGTAGGCACAGCAGCTGTTGCTTAGCTACCGGCTCCCAGCACGGACCATGTTCCATGCATGCCTCCAGCAGAGGCAGTCCATAACGTGGCCACAAGACAGGAAGAGAAGGCACTACCTCCTGCTCCCGGCATGGGCAAGATGGCGCCGCCCATGCTCCGGCGTGGTCTCCACGTGTCTGCAGGTTTTTAATGGCTTGGGGATTCAAAGTTTGTTCCCTTTTACCAGTCACATAATCCGCGACACGCGCCTTCTTCCCGGAATTCACGCATCCGCGAAAATTCAGTACAAAAAGGTATATTCTAAGGCTTTTCTTCCGTACTCTCGGACCCCCTCCCCCTTTCCAGACTGCAGTAGCACGTGGAGTTCCATGCTTTACAATGTTTGGGGGAGGGGAAGATTCAAAGTTTCTCTCTGTGGACGAGTTCTCTTGTGAGGGTTTTAAAGTGTCCACCTTTTTTACTTTTGCTTTCTCTCTGCTTCTCCACCCCTCTTTCCAAGCAATTTCACTAAGAATTGTAAATAACAGCAGTCCTAAAACAGTTATTTTCATCAGTTTTAAAAGTCCACCTATTTTATGTTTGTTAACTTTTTTCCAAAGTCTGTTCAATATTAAGCTTAAGGCTTTTGTAATATTCTGTGGTTCACGTGAATTAAAAGTTTTCATTTTTTCTCTTTTTCTTTTTTCTCCCGCCCTCTCACCTGGGACGTAGATTTTTCTTCTCGAGAGCGTCCTCTCAAAACGTAGGCAATTTCCTACCGAATTCAGGCCTTTTTTCGAGCTCAATCGCGGTTCATCCCGCCTACGCCCATCAGAGTTTCCTTTCCTCTGGTACCTGGCGTTTCTTTCTTTTTCACGGCGGACGTCCCTCAGCGTTAAATATAGGCTGGTACCTGACGTCTGGTCCGTATTTCTTCCTGATTCAGGATAAGGCTTAGGTCCCTGTTCCGGGCGCCATATGTAGCAGTTATTAATATAATAAATAATAAGTCCCATGGGGACCATAGTGACACCAATGTGGTGTGTAACAAGAGCGAGTTTATTCAAGGAGTCTCAGCTTATATAGCAGTTTCAAATGCTGCCACGTCACACAGGTAACTTCTTAAGCCAATCCCATACAAGCATTCAACAGAGCATGTGTGACAGAGTACTTAGAACTACAACTCCCACGATGCTTTGCAGCACCTGGTGTAACCAGACCCCACACATCCCCATTTTTCTTAGAGGCCTGTGGTGGTGCATCCTCCCCCCATTGTCCTCAGGCCTGGTCGATGATCTCAGGAGCTTCTGAGGAGCCTTGACCAAACCAGCTGAGCAATGAAGAGCTCCTGGACTGGACCAGAGGTGTGGTGAAGTGTCCCTGCACTGGACCAGGGGCTCCTGGATGATACAGATGGGAACAATCCTGAGTGGGACAGCTGGGAAACACAAGATAATCAGTCATCCCAATATATTTTGGAAAAATTTTGGAAACTCCAGAGTAATTCCTGACACAGGGATGGAAATTCAGCAGATAACTAAAGCCGGTGCCCTTGTGAGCCCACAGCCAGCAGTGCTGAGGGAGGCCCTGGGAGCTCCCCAGCACCTCCCTCTCAGTGGGACACCTCTCGCAGCCTCTCGGAGTTCAGGAACCCTCCTGTTTGCAACACTGCAAAGAGCATCGCTGATGCCCAGGACAATTCTGATCCCCCTCAACAAACACTCCTCCAGTTGTGACCCTTGCCTGGTGGGAAACACAAAGGGATGTGTGGGAGGGTTTCACTGACAACAGGAAGAATTTTGGAGAGGGACCTTTACACACCCAGATCTTGATGTGTCCACACATCTCTGCCTGGCTGTAGGTGTGAATTGACTGTGGTGTGAGTGTTGTTATTGGGAATTTATAATTCAGTCAGATTTCAATTGCACAAATTATATTGAATCGCTTGATAACAATCAGTTGCTCAATAATTATATGCTATTAAACACTTTTGCCCCCTTATCTTTGTGACCAAATCCTTTGCACCCTCACCCTCTTGCATCCTAAAGGTTCTGTGTAAATCATTGCCTTTCATAGAAAATTATATTTTTGTGACTTCCACTTTAAAATCTTCCTCCTCAGCTAAACTACAAAACAACTCCAATTAGCTGTGGAAGAATTGAAGTCATAAAGACAATAAAAGGAAGGAAAATAATATGTTTTTCTGTATTTTAATGAGCCCCACAGCGTGTTTAGAGACAAGTCTATTGTCCTCAAGTACTGAGAGAAGATTGAAGAAGCTGCTCAAGAAGTCAGAAGCCAAACTCCCAGTCCCTTGAAGCATTGCTGGGCCCCACTGAGGGCAGGCACTGACAAAGCCTCCCCAGGGACTCCTTCAAGCAGATCCTTGCAGGCCAGGAGTGCAGGCAGACAAAGGAAAGTTGCTTGTGGTGGCCTGAGGGGCAGAGGCAGCTGCCAGAGCCAAGGGCACAAAGGCCTGGGTGCCTTTGGGCCTTGCAGCCCTGCCAGAGCCCTTGGCCATCTCTGCTGCAGGCTGTGCTCCCCTGGCCCTGCTGCTCCTCTGGCCTTGCAGGCTGCACACACCCCTCCTGCTTTCCCACCCCCCTCCCAGCAGCATTTCTGGGCCCTCCCTGATGGCTCTGCTGTCCCCCAGCTCTGGCTGCTGCCATGTGCACTTGGCCTTCTTGGCTTGGATGCTGAGCCCCTGTGCCCCAGGACATCCCTGAGAGAGCCCAGGCCCTTCTGCTGGGGGTCCCTGCAGAGCTGAGCAGATCCAGGTCACCTCCCATTGCTCTGCCAACCCCTTGGGGCTGCTCTGGGCCCTGCAGGTCCTTGCCCTGCTCCCAAGGGCTGTGGGGGTGCTTCATGGTCAGGCCTTGGGCTTTAGAGCTCAGGGTGGGGATTGGGCAGAACTTTGGCAGGTTTGTTGTTCTGCTGGCAGGGTCTGGTTCATGATTAGGGGAAGAGGGTTTTGGGCTGGGTCAGGATTAAAGCTTGTGCTTTTCATACTAACAATACAGGTTTGGGAATGGGGTGGGCATTGGAGTACAAATAAGAGTCTGGAGTTCTGGGTTTGGGCTTTTTCTGTCTTGGAATTAGAGCAGTGGATTCCTGTCAATGGAAGGGGCAGCACTTTTGGGTAGTGTTGAGGTTACAAACAGAGTAAAGGTCCATCAGGAATGTTTGCACAGTGTTTCAGCACCCTCAATATTATGGGAAACTATTTTTACCTCATCAAAATCTTTCATATTTGTTGGATGTGTCTTTTTTCCTCACCCAAATATCCCATCCAGTTCTTCTCAGTTCTCCTGACCTCCCCAAAACCTTCCATCTGGATGGGCTCAGCTCTATGATGACCCTCCTGACCCCTGAGCATCATCCTGCCCTCCTTGACCAGTCAGTCCCTATAGACAGCCCTGGCAGCCCAGCCCCCAAGGGCACAGGATGTGCTGCTGTGCTGGAGAGGACCCTCCTCAGCCTGGGCAGCAGGGCTGGAGGTGGGGGATTCCCTGCCCCTCCCCAGCTGGGCCCTTCCTGCCTCTCACACTTGGGCACTGGAGCTGCCCCGGGGCATCTCTGGGGCTGTGACCACCCCTGGGACTGCTCTGGAAGTGATGGCTGAAGACATGAGTGTGGATTTTGGGAGAGAGTGGAAACCTCTGCAGAACAGAGCTCTTGGTAATTGCTCAAGGCTTCCTGTTCAACATTTCAAGGGTTACTTTTTTTATTTATACATATTTTCATAATATTTTCATAGGGTTTTTTACTGAAAAACCAATCCCATATTCAGTGACCTGATTCACTCACTGTATGAAAAGCTCTGTAAAGCTATTTATCAAAATAAATTTCCTACCAATTATTCATTTGAAGAAATATTGCTCAGAAGAGCTCCTGAAAGTTCTGAACATATTCCACATCTCTAATTTTGCCTCTTTTTCCCCTCAGTCCTGTGGGGTGTCACCTGCTCTGCCCTGTCTGAGATGCCCCATGGCCTGAGGGATGGACAAGGCAATTGTGGTTGTTCTTGGCTGGTCTGTGACCACTGTCCTGGGGCAGCTTTCCCAGGGTGTGCAGCACACGGTAAAGGCCAGACCCTGCTCTGCTGCTCCTTCCCATCCCTCCCAGGAGGGCTGGTTTTGGGAGGACCCTGCAGAGCCCCCACCCTGCACACTCACACCCTGCAGCTCAACACTGGGGTTTTCCCTCCCTGGCACTGCCCAGTGCAGCCCTCCCTGGTCCCCCCATGTCCCTGCCCCTACCCCAGCCCAGCACAGCAGCCCAGTCAGGTCTGGCCCTGCAGCAAGAAATGGAGGCCATGGAGGGCAGGCCAGGGCCTGTGTGTCTGCAGTGCTCAGGAGATCATCAGCTCGGGCAGCTCCTGCTGCCCCAGGGCCAGGGCAGCCTCTTTGCATGGCCCCTCTGCTCCCCCAGGCTGTCCTGCTCTTCTCCTGGCACATCCCATCTCCCCCCAGAGCCTTTCCCCAGGGGAACACGTCTGTGCTGGCCTGAGCAGCCCTTCCTGCAGCCCCTGCCGTGCTCCCCACAGCCCCCGAGCTGGGGGGGCTGCTCTGCAGAGCAGGGGGGCTGTGGGGCCCGGGGCCATGGGGGACTCTGTGGGGCTGTGCTGCTCAAGCTGGGAGGCAGAGCCAGCTGATGGTGCTCCCTGCCACTGAGCACCTCCCACAGATGCTCCTGTGAGGCCATGGAGGGTGCTCAGAGGGGCCCTGCCTTGTTCCAGAGCTGGGCCATGGCTTGGGGGCTGCTCTTGATTGACCTGTGCAAGTTCACTGAGGGGAAGAGAAGCCACTTGCAAGAGTTTTCCCTGTTCCTGCTGTGTCCCCTGGGGTTGCAGAGCTCTCTTTGACACTTCCCAACAAGATTTAGTACTTTCTGTCTGGGTGACTCCACCCTGGGCAGGATTCTGCTCCAGGGCTCCAGTCACTGCTGACTGGATGGGACAGGCTGTCCCTGCAGATCCTCTGTGCTCTCCTGCACTTCCTCATTTCCTACACACAAGTCCTCCCCTGCCATCAGAGCCAGCACAAGCTGCAGAGCCCCAGGCAGGGGACCTGGAGATCCTTTGTCATCTCCATTGCCCATCGGCCACCAACACACTGGGCCAGCCCTCAGGCCCTGCAGTCCCAGTGGGTCCCTGCCCTCCCTGCACTGTCTCCATGGAGAAACAACAAAGCAACAAGACTTTGCAGAGTCTATTCCTTGGACTTCTTCTCAATACCCGAGTTGGGAAAAGCCCTCATCCTTCAGGAAGTGCCTGCAGGATAACCCCTTTGCTGATGGAAGTGCTGGTGTGGAGCCCAGCCCTGTCCCAGCAGTGCCCAGGGCCTGTCCCTGCCTGTGGTCCCAGGACTGACACACAGCAGGACAGTGACTGAGCTGCCAGAGCACTCAGGACTTGGACATGGACAGCAAAGGAGAGGGGGGATTGCAAAGAGAGCAGCTCTGGAAAGACCCAGATCTGGTGCTCCCTGACAGAGCTGGGACTCTCTTTCCCCTCCACATCTGCAAACATGAAAATGCCCTCCAGCTTCAGGGGAGGCCTTGGAGGAAGGGTCCAGGAAAATGGATTTCTGTCATTTTTTACACTCAGAGATTGTGAATCCTTTATGTACAAACTAACACAGGGAGGATGTTTGACAAATACCTTGCTGCACAAATTTTTATTTAGTTTCAATGCACATAGAACAGGATTCCTGATTAGTAGATTTTTTTTTGTGGAAAAAAAGAAAAAAAAGAGTGAGAGAGTGAATTACATATGGGATGAAGAATTAAATTTCAGTGTTAATCTCAAGAACAAGAGGGAAATAACATGAAAGCCCCCAACTCCCACCATCTATCAAAAGTATTAGAAGACAGGTTGGGCCAAAACTGTGTTACACAATGAGTGTTCTGCAGAAGAAAAGATGCAGTTTTTTGCTCCTGAAAAACATCCAGTCATCATTTTCCTTATGGCATCCTTGAGCTCCTGGTTCCTCAGGCTGTAGATGAGGGGGTTCAGGGCTGGAGGCACCACCGAGTACAGAACTGACAGGGCCAGATCCAGGGATGGGGAGGAGATGGAGGGGGGCTTCAAGTAGGCAAAAGTGGCAGTGCTGATGAACAGGGAGACCACAGCCAGGTGAGGGAGGCACGTGGAAAAGGCTTTGTGCCGTCCCTGCTGAGAGGGGATCCTGAGCACAGCCCTGAAGATCTGCACATAGGAGAAAAAAATGAAAATGAAACAACCAAACCCTAAACAGGCACTAACCACAATGAGCCCAATTTCTCTGAGGTAGCTTGAGTGTGAGCAGGAGAGCTTGAGGATGGGTGGGACCTCACAGAAGAACTTGCCCAGGCTATTGCCCTGGCACAGGGGCAGGGAAAATGTATTGGCTGTGAGCAACAAAGCATTGAGAAACCCAGAGGCCCAGGCAGCTGCTGCCATGTGGGCACAAGCTCTGCTGCCCAGGAGGGTCCCGTAGTGCAGGGGTTTGCAGATGGCAATGTAGCAGTCGTAGCACATCGTGGTGAGAAGATAATACTCTACTGACATGAAGAACAGAAAGACAAAGGCCTGTGCAGCACATCCTGTGTAGGAGATGGTTGTGGTGCCCCAGAGGGAGTTGTGCATGCCTTTGGGCACAGTGGTGCAGATGCAGCCCAGGTCTGTGAGGGAGAGGTGCAGCAGGAAGAAGTCCCTGGGGGTGTGCAGGTGCTGGTCGCAGGCTACGGCGCTGAGGATGAGGCCGTTGCCCAGGAGGGCAGCCAGGGAGATGCCCAGGAAGAGCCAGAAGTGCAGCAGCTGCAGCTCCCGCCTGTCTGAGAATGGCAGCAGGAGGAACTGGGCCATGGAGCTGCTGTTGGGCATTTCCTGTTCCTTAGGAAAGGGTCTGTTCAGAAAAGAAAAGCACAGGGAACAATTAAGACAGCCCCCTCTCAGCAAAGTCAGTGCAGCTTGCAGGGCAGTCCCCTCCAAGGAAAGGCATTTCTTTTCTCTGCTTTGTACTCTCTGAGGGTGCTGTGAGGGGTAGGAGCTCTGCCCATGTGCTGCCAAGGACTAAGCTTTGCTCTGCTGCAGTGCAGACATGGAGCTACTTTGTGACAGCTCTTATGACCACAGGGGATGTCACATGGGACCCAGCTTGGATGGAAAAACTAAATTCCTGTACTGTTGTCTTGGAGCAATTTGGGCTGCACAAGAGAGGCACAGTGTATCCTTAAAACAATTTTGACTGGGTTGTTTGGTTACAGTCATAACACCTGAGGGGAGGTTTTAAGGGACAAATTTTTCTGATTCCAAATCTGAAGAGTTTTGAGGCAGGACAGACAGAAGGGCTGAGCTCTCTGTTGCTCTTTGCAGAGCCAGAAGAGCTGCAGTGCCTGTCAGTATGTTTGCCATCTGTCCTGCACTGTGCCTTGTGCAGACTTGAAGATGACTTCACACACAGATGAGTCTTTACAAACCCCCCCAATACCTGTGCTGAGAGCAGGGCAGGGCTGCTTGAAAGGGCAGCTCTGTGCAGGGTCCCCTGTGCCAGCCCAGAGGTGCAGCTGTGCTGGACACAGCAGGACAGGAGCCCTCCCACAGGGAAGCCAAGGGCTGGCCCAGGACAGTGCCCACCCCCAGGGGAAGGCTCAGCACTGCCCAGGATCCTAGGCTCATTTCTGAGACCACCTGAAATATTCACCTCGGAGAGTAAAAGGGTTGGAATTTCAGTGCAGCCTCCTGAGCTGAGAGAACAATGTCTGTGCTGCAATGCCTAAGCAGGAAACACACAGCAGGACTAATTCCTTTCCTGGAGCCCCTGTCTTTTCTTAGCTGTGCCAAAAATTCTCCATGAAATATCCTGTAGTGGTGTGGAGCTGTGAGCAGCTCTGAGCCTGCAACAGTGAGACATGGAAAAGATCCTCCCTGCCCTGCCAGGTTTGCTCCTTGGCCAGAGCCCTCCTGCCCCAGCCCTGGGAGCAGCTCCCTGGGCCGGCTGAGCTGCCCCTGGCAGGCAGCAGAGTCCCTGCCCAGCACAGCGCCCTGGGCTGCAGGACCCTGCTCTGCCCCACAGCCCTGAGCACCCCTGGCTGCACCCCTGGCTTCACAGCTCTTCCCAACTGCCCCAAAACAGCCCCTTCTCACCCATCCCATCAGCTGGGGCTGGGCCAGCTTGAGCAGATGCCTCCAGGAGCTGCCCCTGCCCTGCCCTGCAGCCACAGACTCACCGTGTGCAGCCCTGCCAAGATTCCTCCTGCAGGGAGCTCTCAGCCCTCCTGCCAGTGCTGAGCCCCTTTCAGCTCTGCCTGTGCCCTGCTGGTGTCCCTGAGCTCCCTGGCAGTGCCCTCAGCCCTGCTGGGCTGTGCAGAGGAGCTGCTCCTGGGCAGAGCTGTCTCTTTGAAGCTCTTCTTGGTTGCCAGGAGCTCCCTGTGTGCCAGGAGCCCAGCCCAGCTCAGCAGCACAGCAACAGCCCCAGGGGGCATTGGGGATGAGTCCTTGAGCCTCAGTCCCTGAAAGGAAGTTGAGGAAACCTCTAAAGAATTTAAAGTCAAATTCAAACTTTAAAGTTTTTTGTAGTGTTAATGGGTCCCACTGAGGGACATGGCTGAGAAAGTCATCTCAGGGTTCAGTTAGAGCAGAAAACTGCAGACAGTGATGACAAGGATGGACAAGCAAGGCAAAGGTGGCTCTGATGCTGAGGAAATCTTGATATGTTTCCCTAATCCAAAGGGCCAAGACCTTACCCCAGCCCCTGGGAAGGCAGATCCTATCCCTGCCTCATTGCTCAGGGCTCTTCCTGGGGCACTGGGATGTGGGATGTGCAGTGCCAAGGGCAGGACGATGGGGTGGCACCTGCCAGGCTGCTGAGCAGGGACAAGGAGGCCAGGAGGCCCCAGAGCTGCAAGGGCCACTTGTCTCCTCCTGGCCTCAGGGGCACAGCCAGCAGCCGTGGCCAAAGGCCTGCAGAAGGTGGCTGTGTCAGGGCCTTTCAGCTTCTGCACAGGCCTCTCTCTGTGCAGCCCAGGCTGTCCTAGGGTGTCCATGCCCTGCCCCTTTCCCTGCAGGCTGTCGTCATCCCCCCGGCTGCCCCACCTGGCTGGCCCCTTCCTGCACTGACATCTCTGCGTCCTCCCTGGCTCTTCCTGCACACACCAAGCCTTGGGCTCATCCAGACTCCTCCTGCCTTATGTGTTGCACCACAGCACTGCCCTCAGATTGAAACTCCTTTCTCTTTTTTACCATCTGGACCTCTCCAGCTGAATTTGGCATAATTTCTTTATTTCTCCTGCTGTTTTCTGATACCACTTAAGCATCCACCCTCCCTTAAGCGATTCTTGAAGCACTCTCAGGTATCTTCTCTGCTGTCCTCTGTCTGCACACCACTGAACCCAAGACTCCTTTGCCCCTGTATAGTGGTCATATGTATGAGGCCTTGAAAACCCTTCCTGGGACATCTCTGAGCACTCTCCAAGGTGTCTGCAGATGAACACATGGTGCTCATATTCTGAGATAGTCACAGGGATGCGTTTTATCAAGGCCTGTAGTGGCAGAACATGGGGCAATGGCTTGAAACTGAAATAGAGGAGCTTTATATTGGATAAAATGAAGAAATACTTACCAATGGGGCTGGACAAGAACTGCAGCAGAAGAGGATGTCCCATCCCTGGATTTGTCCAGGGTCAGGAACTTTGAGCTGCCTGAATTAGTGAAGATGTCACTCTCCATGTTCAGGGGCTTGGACCACATGAGCTTTTATCTCCCTTCCAAGTCAAACCATTCTGTGATTCTTTGAGTCTGATATCCCAAACTCCTTCTCCAAAGAATTTCTATTCCTGGGACATGAATTGCCATGTTTTTGGAGAAGCCATTGGAAACCCAGAAGGTAAAATACTCAATTCAAATAAAGTTCCAATATCTCTGTGTTAGGGTTTCACCAAATGGGTCAATGGCAGAGCCTGCCAGGATGACCTTGCCAGTTGAAGATGGGGGATTCTGTTTGGGGTCTGAGCCTTATTGATGGGCAACAAGAAATCACATTTTTGGACTGCACAAGACCTGTCACGGGATCTCTAGGGAAGAACCAAAGGAATAGAAATGGTCGGATCACAGTTGTTTGTGAAGGAACAGGTGTGAGAAAACACAGAGAAAATGGGGATGAAAAAACTCAGAATGCCCAAATATGGAACAATGTAATCTTCGAGAAGTCCTGGAGAATTAGGTTAGGGATGAAACTCAAACAAACAGGATGTGAATAAGCTCTGCATCCCCAGATAAGGTGAAGAACAAAGGTAACATTTCTGGTGGTGGACCAGGATGATGATGGGCCTGATCAGGAACTGAGGGCAAGGCAACAGAGGAAGCCTGGAAGGACCAAAGAAGGACCTCCAGGGGGATGACTCTGTGAAGCAAACTAATGAATATGTATTAAGCAAACCTGCACATCTAATGAATATGTACCCAGTGTGTGCAATAAGAAGTCCTGTCCATCTGTCATTTGGCACCTTTGGTTAGAGGAGCTTCCCTGCCAACGTCCAGTGCTGAATAAAGAACAATTCCTGCTTCTTAATACTTACAAATTGGGGTGGAGGTGTCTGTTTCTGCCGCCTTTGGGTATCAGGGCCATTGTGATACTTTGGAACCTCCTGGAATCCAAAGACCATTGCCACAGTGCAAGGCCTTATGGATCCATAGGCCCTTGGACACTGGGGCAGCTCCCAGAATCCAGGGCTTGATGACACTCCAGGGTGTCACAGAACCAAAGGAGTCCCAGGAAGGTGCTGAACCTCCTGGAATCAAGGGGGCATTGTGACACTGTGACACTGTGACCCTGCAGGGCCATGTGGAGACAAAGGGGCCATTGTGACCCTGTGCAACCTCACAGCACCAAGGGCCATTGTGACACTGCAGGGCCTCATGGATTCAAAGGAGTGCTGGGACACTCTGGACCTGATGGAATCACTGTGCAATTGGGACACCATGGAACCTCATGGAATCCTCAGGACCCTTGAGACATATGGGAATCTTCTGGAATCAAAGGGACCATGGTGACAGTGCAGGGCCTGTGGAGCATAAACGACCACTTTGAAAATGTGGAACCTCATGGAATAAAGGAACCTGTGAGACACTGCATTATCGGGATACTTCTTGACTCAGAACAACTTCAGTGTGTGTGTGGGTGAGAAAGGGACAGGTGGAATTTCCCAAAGGTGAGGTGGTGCCCTGTTCCATTGCCCAGCCCTTGGAGCCTCCTTGGGCAGCCCGGGAGCTGCTGTCAGTCCAAAGCAGCCCGGGAGCACTGCCCCATCCCACACCCTGAGCCCCTAACCCAGCCCCACACTGGCTCCAGCACACCAGGAGCTCTGCCCCTCACCCTCCTGCAGCCCCAGAGTGGCCAGTGGGCCACAAGTCCTCCCTGGGGGGTGGGCACAGGGGGCAGAGCAAATCAAAGGAGCCCCGTGCGACCATCGCTTGGTCGGACCCTCCATCTGGGCACGGGGAAGCTGCACTGGCACCAGACTGCGGGTGGGAGCTGCACTTCTCTCTCTTTCCTTACTTCTTCTTATTCTCTCAATCTCCCTTAATATTTAGGAAACTTAAGACTGGATGGGTTGGGTTTTTGCTGACTTGTCTGGGTTGGCCTGTGCTCAATCAATGCTTTGGGGAATGCTCTATTTGGTTGAAGGTTTCCCTTTCATCCTTTGCCAAGCTCCCTTCTTTTCTACAATTTAGCAGTAAAAGTGTGATTTTTGACCTTCTGAGAGGTCAAAAGTGTGTTGCATCTTTTCCACTGTGCTCCGTCAAGGTACTTAAAGAACTGAAGTCCATTTTTAAATCTCTGGAAAGTGGATATTTTTGATGCCTTGTATATTTTTTAAAGGAAA